ATATTAATAATTTGTTTGTTTGTTTATTTGTTGTTTTTTTTATTTTGGTTTTACCACCATTATCATCATCGCCAAACACTCGTTGTTGTCATCTTCGCCATCATTCAAATTGAAATTAAATTCATCATCATCATCGCTGCCCCCATCATCATCATCATATTCATCATCACCATCATCATCATCATTATCGTCATCATCATGGTTACCGAGTTAGCTCAGTCGGTAGAAATGCTGCGCCTCGCGTTATCATTACGCGACTGCATGGTTCGAATGCCGTCTGTCCGAAGCTGAAAGACCATCATATGATGATGCTTATTGCTTACACATTACCTTATGATGCTTGCACGTGCATACGTAATGTGTATGAACGCTGTGTGGTGTGGTGTGTGATGTGTGGTGTGGTGTGGTGTGTGGTGTGGTGTGGTGTGTGGTGTGGTGTGGTGTGGTGTAGTGTGGTGTGGTGTGCTGTGGTGTGGTGTGGATAGTAAATACTTAAGAGTACGATGCATGCAGCTCTGCTTTTGACTAGACTACATCATGAAGAATAAATGTAAATATATCATGTTTTTGTTAGTCACTGGCTACCGCTGCAATTTTGTTATCATTTGATGATGATGATGATGATGATGATTATGGTGATGATGATGGCGATGATGATGACGACGACGAGGACGACGATCCAAATAAACAATCATGGCGCTGATGACCTAGTACTGAGAAGTAATAATGATGTAGCGCCTAATTTCAAGTAGGACGCTGCAGGGGTGATATTAATTCTTTGATCTTCTTGATGAAGTTTCTTACGGTTTATGAAATCCTTAAAATATCTTATTTTCTCTATTACGTAATACCTTCTTATACGTACCAACAGTTCGAATACCCTAAATACAAATATTCCTCAGCAAAACGTAATCATTGCACTGTTATATAGTATATAATATCAGAAAAAATTACAAGATGGCTTAACGATTTGGCTTACAGTAACCAGGATCAAATGCAAAGAGTTTCTCATCCAATCATTATATATGAATATCAGACATAATTATATGTTGAGTATTGACATTTTTGTAAAGTGTTGAACATGTGTTGTATTTTAAAACTGTCTCGTTATGTTATGCATG